GTATAAATTTTAAAAAATAAATTTTTTATTTTAGTATTAGTTTTATTTTAAAAAATTTAAATAAGGTTTTCGTCATTTCTTTACTTAGATATATTGTTATGAAATTTCAGACAAAAGCTCCGTTAAGCTTAACGGAGAGATGAGAATACGGCTGCTGTGTAGAGTTTTGTTTGTCTGTGTAGAGTTTTTTTTTGTCTGTGTTGAATTTTTGTTTGTTTGCGTCAAATTTTTGTTTATCGAACTTTGTTTGTCTTTACTGGATTTTTATGTCTGCGTCGAAGTTTTGTTTATATGTGTTGAATTGGTATTTGTCTGCGTCGAAGTTTTGTTTATCTGTGTTGAATTGGTATTTGTCTGCGTCGAAGTTTTGTTTATCTGTGTTGAATTGGTATTTGTCTGCGTCGAAGTTTTGTTTATCTGTGTTGAATTGGTATTTGTCTGCGTCGAAAAAAAAGGAAAAGCTGCATAAACTCTATTTTAGCTAAAATTAAAACTTTGAACTTAGTTTTAATTTATTTTAACAACTTTATTAAAATTATATATTTAAAGCTTTGTAAATTAAAGATTTAAAGACTAGCAACTCCTTCAAAAAAAAAAAAAAAAATTGGGGGCTTTAAACTTTATATGGCCATAATTTTTGAACATTAAAATATTTTACTATGAAATTTAATATTTTTTAATGAATATAAGTCTAGTTGAAACTAGTACAATAAATATTTCATCAACTTGTTGCTCTAACGTTTGAAGCAGGGAAGGGGGCTAAGATTTTAGGGTTTCTTGTTCCCATTCTTCTATCGCAATACTTTTTTTAAAGAATCTATTTGTCATAAGTATTAACATATAAAAGTTTGGAATATTCTTTTTGTTTACAAGTTGGTTATTTCAAACACTTAAAAAGCTTCCTACGCCACTGTATATGAATATAAATGAAGAGTCCAGGGAAAAAAACGGCAAAGTCACATTAAAAAGTTTTGAGAAAGTATATATTGATCATTTATAACAGTTTTCAAAAGTTCAATAAATTGATTTTGATACGATATCTAACTGCAAACTCTGAACCTTAAAAGTAGATTTAAAAATTATTTTTTTTCATATTTTCTTGAGATATTTGTCTTAAGCTAAAAATTTATATGTATACAAATATTTATTGCACTATTGCAGCGTTTAAACTAATTTAAAAATCTTTTTTTTGCTGTTCTTAACTAAACTTATTTTCATCAATAAATTTTAAGTATTGTTTTACAATCTTAAGCATTCAAATATTATGACTATATATAAACGACTATTTGAAGTTTGGAAATTTTTCCAAAGTTCACAAAAAAAAGGGTCAGACGAATTATTGTCTAGTCTATATAAAATTTATTACCCCCTCAAATTGAGGAGGGTTTAAACTTTATATGGTTATAATTTATGAACTCTGAGAGATATTTCTATGAAGCTTAAAATTTATAAATAAATATTAACAAAGTAAAGAGTTTCAAAAAAATTGTTTTATTAACTTGTTGCTCTCACGTTTGGGACAGGGGAGATAAAATTTCAGTTTTTTTTTTTGTTTTCAGCCGTTAGCTAGAGATAGGATTGAGCGGGGCATATAGAGACACTTAAGAAACAAATGGTTGTTGCAGATAAACTAACTTAACATAGTTAAGAGTATTTTTTATAAGTTTCGTAAAATTCATTGATATAAAAAAACTCTAGACTAGCAAAACTTCTTTATTTTGCAAATGGGTGGGGCAAAGTGGCACAGTAAAAAAGTAGGAGTTATTAGTTAATTTTAAAGATTTAAAAGTGATAAAAAATCAAAGCGTTTTATCATTTAAAATTGTTCAGACATTAAAATTTTAAAAATGTAACATGTTTATACGAATTACACGCCCATACACCACGAAACAAACAAACAAACAAACAAAAACAAAAAAAAATAAAACAAAAAAAACTTCATGTGTTATATTATAAAATACTCTTAAACAAACAAACTTAAAAAATTGTTCTAAAATTTAGGGAGGGCAAAACTAGTATATATTATCAAAATGGTAACTACTACTAAATCTAAAATCAAAATATATCATGGATTACATAAATCACACAAAAAATATCATGAAACTATTTGATATCATTTTTGATGAGCTGGCTTATTAGCAATATGCTAATGTAGAGAAAGTTTAAACATGTCATATGTATTAGTAGCTTTTCGAATTCTAAGTTCCTTTTTATTCACAGCTAAAACTGGATGTCATCCCATTTTGGATGATTGATCTTTCTTATATAATTTCTTACCATAGTTGTTTACATTAAAAACTATTAATAATTGAAATTAAGTTATAAAAATAACAATTCCTTTGAATGTATTACTATTATTGCTTTTCTAAATAATAAAAATAATATTTTAGAATAAAAATAAAGTAATCAAACTGTAAACAAAATGGTAGTAATATAGTCAATTATATAAATAACCTTTTGTCCCAATATGCCCCACAAAAGTCATTTTACTGAAATTAAAACTATTTAAAAAGTTCATTTCTAGATATTTTTTTACAACCAGATTCTTAAAGAGGATAAAAACTATTCTCTGAAAAACTTTTTATAAATAAAGCAAGTTAGCAGTTTAGTTAAGTTAGTTCAAGTTAAATCTTTTGTCGTTGTATAGCTTAAAAAAATAAGCAAATTTTGTTTTTCGCAAACTTACTGATGCATTTTGGTACTTTTAATACATTTCGGTACTTCTAAAATTATATTTTTTTTACATTAATGAAGCACAATAATTTAAAATATTTTATCAAAAAAAATATTCAGGAAAAAAAATAATTTTATGCCGAAATATAAAGCTTTAGGCAAAAGTATCCCGATATGCCCCGGTCTACCTTATGTTGGTACTCCAAGTCCTAACGGTCTTATTACAGAGCACCGCAAAATAGCACAAAACCAGGAAGTTCACGCCTTATCAATAATGCATGTATGCCCAGAGACGGCATTGAACTACGAACCTCTAGTTCTGAAACTAGAATTTTAACCACCACACCACGGCTACAAACGGCTACACTACGCCACGGCGACAAACAATGTTTTTACCTCTTGAAATAGGTTTTTATTTAAGAATTTTGAGGAAAGAAAGAAATTATTTTTATGTAATATAGTTTTTCAATTCATCAAAATTTATAAACGGGGCAGAAAGTCTTGATTAGCTGGCAATGGAAAGGGATTGGAAATAAAACTAAAAATAAATACCATCCCTGCATTGGGATGGCATAAAGATGAGAGTACGCACGCACAAGTTCTGTAAACGTGTATAAAAACAAAAGGAAAAAAATTGAGAAAAAAAACGAAAACTTTAAAACTAAACAGACTATCTACAAGTATTTAACCTTTCATCTTTAAATCTTTATTATCATATATAACTTTATTCATCTCTAAATCTTTGAAGGAAACCATTAATAAATCTGGATAGGGAACTTAATCATTCTGAAAATTAACAATCTTTTTTGTTATTGAAAGAAATACAAAAAATTTCAAAAAAATTTGAATATTAGCCAGCTCAAAACAAAATGGTGAAACAGTTCGTGGACTCAGCGTTATTCAATCCCATAAATGCTTATCCTTCTGATCTCTGGCAATCTTGCTTGACATATATTTATTTCAAAAGAGTAAGTTTCCTTCTGCTATAGAGAAAGTTTGTTGTCATAGGAAGAAAAATAAGTTTAGCAAGTTTTTATAGATTGAAATAATAATGGAAAAGATGATACGAGTGACCTTTCTTAGATAAGACTTAACCAACATACTATATAAAACTAAAACTCAAGAAAAAGCGAATTGTACACTGATTCCAAAAAATTGTAACACTGGTTCGAAAAATGTTTGAATCATCGTCACAATTTTACTATCAAATCGTTAGTTGCTACTTTTATTATTTTAAAACAAAAGCCATGAATCGTTTGTTTTGTAAGATGTAATGTTTTTTTAAGTTAACCATAGCCTTCAAATTACAGTAAAAACTTACCGTTGATATACAAAACGTATCGCTACAACGTCTGACAAGGGACTGTTACCATGATAGGTGTCTAGCAATGGATCGCATGAATTTTAATACTAATCCAAAGAAAATTATAAGAAAATTATGCTTTATGGTTTGATAAACTTTAGGCGGTGTTTTAAACATCTTTGGTACCTGTTACCAGCCGAAGCCAAAGTATATAGTTGACCATTGTTCCTATTTGTGTTGGATGTATGCGCTAATTTTATAAAAGCTTTTCAGCTTTTATAAAATAGCATAGATCTGGCAGCCACGGGTTCTTAGACTATAAACCTTATATCTGAAAGGTTTTAATAAATGAATTGATTTTTATATATTTTTTAAGAAAAAAAAGTAAAGATGAGCATGTACCGTCTAGCCCCTTAGTGTCATTGACATATTATAAAATAAAGCATTTAAATCAAAAAAAAAATTTAAGCAATAACAAAAGATGTCGCTATATTTTTCTCAAAGATCAACGGTTGTCCAGATTATCTGATACCCAAAAAGTATAGAACATACTGGAAAAAAAAATCTCTCTATGAGAGGCGAACAGAGTTTTTTATTACTGGCATTCATGAAGCACATTTATTATATATATATATATATATATATATATATATATATATATATATATATATATATATATATATATATATATACATACACACACACACATATATATATATATATATATATATATATATATATATATACAATATATATATGTATATATACAATATATATATATATATATATATATATATATATATATATATATATATATATATATATATATATATATATATACAATATATATATGTATATATACATATATATATATATATATATATATATATATATATATATATATATATATATATATATATATATATATATATATATATATATATATATATATATATATATATATATATATATATATAAACAATATATATGTAAACAAGAAATAATAATGGTAAAAAATTCTTACCACAATAAAGTAAAACAAAATAAATTTTTGAATTAAAGACGATTACCAATGTTCTTTTTAAAACATAAATTATTTTAATGTAAACTAAGTTTACTGCATTAACAAATAAATGCCATTGTTAACGGATGATTATTATAATAGATGTATTTGATTTTATTTGTATTCAATAAATGGTTTAAAAAAAAAACTTAATAAAGCCGCAAAACGTTTTCTACATTATAGTTGAAAATATTTTTAGGCATCATAAAATATTTTTTAAATTGATACTATAAGACATTATTGTTATATCTAATTTATTTTATTTTATTTTATTTTTTTTATTTCTTTATTTTTTTTATTTTAACTAAGACTTAATAAAAGAAAAGATAACTATTTACAGTTTACTAAGAGATCCTAAAGAGTGTCAGGAATAGTAAACGGTTTAAGAAATAGATTAAAGATCCCAAGAGAATAAACTAGGAGACATACCAGACAATCAAGACGCCATCAATTTTTCAAGTTATTGAAATAGAAAATACCTTAATTTAGTAGATTTTAATTAATAGAAAAAAGTAAAAGAAAAAAAAAATTAATAGAAAAAACTAAAAATTAATAGAAAAAACACATTTTTTTCACCATCACTACCAATAAAATCAGACATCAGAATTCTAAAAGTTGAACTCTAAATAAGATGAGTTAAAGAAGATAAACTCTTGAAACTCACTTGATAAAATTCATTTAAGACTTGATAAAATTAGTTCATTTAAAATTTTATGTAGACTTTGATCTCAAGAAAGACAACAATTTGTTCATTTAATGCTTGATCTGCTATCCCATTCAATCAAAACAACTTAAAAATAATAAATATAAACAATACAAACAATTAAACTTTGTCAAAGTGTACTTAATGATAAATCTATTTTATCTTAACTTCAGCATAAAATGCCACTTTATCTAATGATAAAGAAGCATTTTATGCTGGAGTTAAGATTTTATGCTAATGATAAAGAAGCATTTTATGCTTATTCAAAAAATATTTGACAAGAAACTATTTTTTATTTAAAAGGAAACTTATAAAGTAACCTATTTCAAAACATGTGATCCATTTCAAAATCATGATATAAATACTGTTTTAGCGAAACAACAAAACAAAACAAAAACTTTACTCAATAACTACAAAAAATATTAAAAGCACAATTTGTGTACAAAAATGTGCTTTTAAAATTAAGCAGTGAATTTATAACTTTCGTGAATCATCTTTTTTTCTATGTTGTACAAATCCACATTTTACTTTCGTTTTTCTCAACAGAGTGTTTTTTCATTTAACTCTTTCAAATGAACAAAACTGTTTTGCTTTTCTGCATTTATGGCTAGCATACCAGACTGATCTATCAAAATAGTTATTTCACAAAAAGATTTTTTTCGCATTCTCGTTTTAAATTCTTACTGTTACATTCTTTTTGTTTTCTTTTTGATTGCAAATAATCTTTATATTGATTACTTGCTTGTTTTACATTTTGTAGCATTTCTTTATTAATTTTGATACTATCAAAAGAAGGCAAATGATCTTCAAAAAGACTTAAGGCAATAAAGGCTTTTTCTTTCAGATATTTAACAAGAAGTTGTTTATTAATACTAAAGCCACGCTTAATAGAAAATTGTCTATTTGAAAGCACAAAAACTATTTTAAAAACGCTCCAAATGTCTTGATAAACTTTATTTTCTCCAATAAAGTCAGATAAAAAATTACAATAGTCTTTATTGATTTAACACGGAAATCTTGAAATGATTTTTGATTTATCTACTATTTCTAAAAACTTATAAAATTGAATTTTAGCTGACTTTGGTGACAAATGGCCATATTCAACTAACTTTTGCAACAGAATTAAGACAAGAATTCTATTTTTTTTAAATTTGAAATGAAAATTGGGTTAATAGATACTGCAGTGCATCTTCCGACAAACTTCAAAGGGGACTTCTCAAGGAGATGTGTCAACAGACCAGCTAAAAACTGGCCTTCTTCTTCTTTAAATATAACCACTCTTTGGTCTATGTAACTTAAAATAGCTTCATCAATTTTTAACAAAGCAACAAAACCAATATCAATTTGATTTATAAGCTTTTTAATATTTTTATTAATTAAATTTATTTGAAGCTGCTGGTATAGATTGTTACACTCATTTAAATCATCTTCTAGTATGATTCTCCTGAGACAGTTTTTAACAATTTCACCAAGCATAATAGCCGTAAATGGAACCAGAGGTTTGTCTGTTTGAAAAGATCTCAAAAAACTATTTAACTTTTCAGAAACCATCTCAAAAAATTTAAGTTTAGCTGGCAAAACAAGATCGTAAACCATTGCTTTCAGTCTCTGTTAGCTTTTATTTTTTGAATCAGGTTGTTAGTTTTTCTTAAAATAACTGAAAAATTATATAAATTTTTGTATCCATCAATAAGTGATTCAGTCTTATAAGCATGTTTTCCATTTTCACATTACCTATACCAACCAAACTGCATTGGATAATTAACTGGCTTATTTCCATTAAAGTAATGTTTTCATTATTGCTCTATTACTAGGAGAGTCATGTAGAAATTGTGAGATTGCTTCTAATAGATTATTTAGCTCACAGCCTCTTGCTTTTGCTAATGCTTGCAAACTGCCATGAATGATGTGCAGACCACAGTTCCAATATCTTTAAGATGATCAAGTTCTTCCTCTTTCCTCTGTTCCTTTGAATTATTTAGAAAAAATAAATTTACATTTGACCCATCTGACAACACTTGTAGAGTTTTTGTTTTATCTATATCGGAAATACAGTTTAGGAATTTTTATATTATATCATGTGCTGTCAAGCGCCCTATAAACTCTGATTTAGATGAGTTTTATTCATACTCATATATATATATATATATATATATAATATATATATATATATATATATATATATATATATATATATATATATATATATATACAAATAGTTTTAAGTGTAATCAACAAAATAGTGTGCTCATTCTTTTTAAAGAGAATAGAGCTATAATAAAATAGTTGGAAATCACTTGATAATATTTTTTATTTTACACAGTGTTTTATCAATAAAGACTCATCAGAAATAAATGACCAAATTAATTACTTTTTATTTTTTTATTTTTAAAACCAAGCAGTACAAAGACATTAACGAGTTGACAGATAGTTGATGACTTTATATTGATTTGGTCCATCTTTAAAACAACACCTGCGTATAAAGGTATTTTAAGAAAGTATATAAAGTATACAAGAGATTAAAATAGTTAAAAATTAGAAATAAAAATGTTTATTAAATAAATATTCAAAAGTTATTTCTAAATGCTCATATGAAAATATGTTTCTCTTGATAACTATAAAAATAAGTTAACAAAAATTTTTTATAAACTTGTTTGAGAGTTAAAAAAATAATATAAAAAAAAATGTGTATTTATAAACTTAAAATAAAATTAAGATTTTTTGTCGTATCATTAAATTTAGTCATAACAGTTATATTGTATATAACAATAAATTCAAAATAAGGATTTATTATTTTTGAAGAGGAAGTAAAGCAAATAATAAAACTAAAGTCTAAGTTTCTCAGAACAAGCAAGAAAGACAAGAAGCACAAAAAAATCAAACCTATCTACTGATTGTCAAATTCTTTAATTTGAACTGTGTTGAATTAGTGTAATGTCTTAATTTATTTATTTTTCTGGTGTATGTGTGTGTATTGTGCAATGTAAAAAGTTATCAAGCTTTAACTACTGGCTTGTTTCCATTTTTTAAAAAAAAGATTTTATAATCAGCCAGTGCTTCTAAAAGTTAATAAAAAAAATACGCTAATAACTAAAAACTTCATACTTTAAAAAATTGATTTACTCATCTTTAGATGTTTGCAAAAAACAAAATCAGATAATGAAAGGAGACAATGAAAATAACCTAACAATATTTATTTTAGATAACTTTGAATGAGAGCTCATGTAAAATTATAGCTAAAATAATTGTCAGAATATGCTTGGGTCATAATCTAAAAGTCTTGCAAATAAAAATTAGTTTTGTTTTCTGTTAAATAAAAGTTTTTTCCTGTTTAACAAAAAGATGTAAAAAACATTTTTTTTACTTTAGTACTCTTTTTTTGTAAAAACTGCAACAAATCACCATTCTCCATAAACTCAACAATAAAGGTTTTTTAACTGTCGACTATGAGCATAACGGTTTTTTAGCTACCGAACAGCCCAATATATTCACAATATTTTGATAATAACCTTTTTTTTTTCATAGATTTTATTCTTTGCGGGAATCATTGATTTCTTTTTGACTTGTTTTATCTATGTTTTATTTAAAAGTTAAATATATTTGTAACATTACTAACATAACATCACTAACATAAAAGACTAGAAAAACATATACAACTTTGTCCTTGTGACTGTATTATTTATTTACACAAATTACAACATTTACATTGGCATCATATTTTTGACAATTAACAATAATTTTTATTTAAAATTTAAAAAATTAAATATATAGTTCAGCTCAAATTCACCAAGCCCTTTTTCTTAACCCTTCAGCCAAATTTTTTTTTGTTGGTGAATTTAATGCTCATCACATTGAGTAGGTTTGTTCTAGTGTAAATGACTCTGCAGGCGTTAAGGCCCATAACTTATTATTTTCTCAATCTCTAACATATATAGTTAACTTTCAAGACAATTCAAATCATTTACCTTCTCTACTCAAATTGTCTTGTTTCACATCATAGTCAGTGCTCAGTTTCTCCACATTTCCTCCTAGGTGTTTTTGATCACGGTGTGATCTTTATAAAACTATTATCTCATTCTTCTTCATAATCAGATGCCCCCTATCATTATACCTCTTACAACTATTTTCAGGCTGATTATTACCGTGTTTCTCTTTGCGATGACTCTTGGTTAAAAATCTTTCGTCTTCCTTTTTACAAACTTGCTTCTTTTGTAACTTCTTGGATTCAAGCTGACATGGAATCTTTTATTCCCTCTAAACAATTCCAAGTGAAGCCTCACTCTTCTTCATGGTTTTCCTCTCATTGTGTTGCTCCAATTTCTAAT